ATAATGGAAAAGAAAATGGAGACGTCTATAGTATATTTAAGACATTGGTTCCGGGATTTTCCATAACTTGGGAAGCTAGGTAGGGAAACCCCCAAGTTATAGCCTGGTAGTAATACCCTAGTATTGTCCAGTATAGCTACCTGTGTGAATAACGAGTGCGGTTTTAGGTTCAAGGCACTATGGATAGGTCTGACATTCTTGCATTTTCTAAAGGCAGCAACCTCTTGCTTCAGAGGTTCCATGCCGCATCCCCGATTTGTGCTGCCAACTGTTGCAACCGCATTAAAACCAAAACCTGTACCGAGGAAGCCTCAGTTGGACCCGAACTATCGTAAGACTTCAGCACCAAAGTTCAAATCCTCAACCATAAGCTTTTTTTATATCGCAACCTGGAACCAGAAGCTCTAGATCCCTAAGCCCGAGAGCTAACGCCTGGCCAGCAACACGCAAGGAGGTGCTTCCTGATGGATCTGGCTCGCGCGTGGCGATGTTTTCGGCCAGGCGGCAGCAGGGAAAGTCCCCGAGAGGTTTCCAACATTGGGGTTGATATAGGGGTATACAGGGTCCCCCGCAAGCTCCGCATTTCCAAGTCTTCCAGTACATTATCCATGAAGTTCTTTTTACGTGGACCTGGGTGAGCTTGGAGATTCGTATTTGTATTTGGTCTATATGGATTCCTTTTACAATTGAATTGTGCATGATTCGAAACCCCTTGATTAATGGATTTGTTTTTTTCATACGTTTCTGGTCCATTTGGGTTTGTAGAATCTTATTAGCAATCATACAGATATCCTGGATTCCTCGATTTCCAGTGTTGGATAGGAATATGGCATGGTCTAGGTGAATATATAGATTCCTTTCATAATTCGATAAGAAATAACACAGAAATCCTGGATTCCTGGATTGTCTAATTTGGACAGGACTTTGGTTTTTATGATTTTCTTAAATTCGAATAGAGGTGATACAACAAGTCTGGATTGCTGGATTCCAATTTTGGATAGGCAGTCTGTTTGTACAAGTTCCTTTTAAAACCCAATAAGAAAGAGAATTGAAGTTCTATTCCTGGATTTCCGTTTTTCCGAGAGGATTTTGGTCAATATGAGTTCCTTTTAAAATTAGAAGTGCAACAGAAAGTTAGACCTTGCATTTCTCGATTTTGAAGAGGATTCAATCTAAATGATATCCTTTAAGACCTGACTCAAACATAATACGGACATCCTGGATTCCTGGAAACCCAAAATCAAAAACCAAAACAACAAAGAATATGCGTTTTGTTTTTTGATGTGCTATTTTTTGGAATGCAGAAATCGACTAAAACCTTCTATTATAGAATCTCAGAACACAGCAAAATACTGTTATTTGCAGTGTTTTCAGCTTGTTTTATCAAAAGCAAATCTTGCAGGACAAGGCCATGTAAACGGGCCATACAAACGTGGACCTTGGGGGGGTGACAATAGGGTCATATAGGGATTACATAGGGTTGATAATGGGGTTAGATAGAGTTTCGGGATATTATCCCAACAGCGGAGAGTCAAGAAACTTGTGAAGAAGTGAGAATCTGTGCTAGAACTTGCAACCCTGATGAACCACCCAGTAACAGTCTATGTATATATATATGTATAAGTACGATACAGATGTTGTTCAACTGTTACTGAGTGGGGGCAGTACCCAACCTATAATCCTGACTCAGCCCGCTTGGTACGTTGTTTATGTCATGCTGGGAGGTTTGACGGCGGAGAGGTTGAACTTCAGATCCGCGCCGTTCATCGGCTTCTGCTGAGACATAACTATGAGGTGCGGATGGTGGAAGCTGGAGCCGGGGATGATTTCGGAGATGACACTTTACTGTTTCTGGATGAAATCAAGTCGAATGATGGTGTGATGCTTGCCGTGTGCACGGCGCACTACGCAGAGATGACTGCATCAAAGTTTTCCTCTTACGTGGAACTGAAGTACTGCTTTGCGAACGGCGTCCAGGTGCTTCCTCTTCGAACCTTGGGATCTCAGTGGATGGCCTTTTTGTGGGGTTTCTCATTCTATGGTTGCAGCTTGCCTCCGTAAACCAGTTGGCCTTTGAAAGGCCCGGCAATTAAGGCATGGTGGACACTTATCCTCCCACGCCACCGTGCCTTGACAGTCCTGGAATGGAAGTTTTTGATTGTGTGAGGAGGGAAGCTGAGTAAGGCAATAAGGAACTGAAAACCAAGTTGGTGGTCTATGGCGAGAGTCCCAACAACCACTTCCTCGAACGTTCAAACGACATGACTGTGGCCTTACCCAAATCATGAGCAGGGCATATCCTATACTCTGATACTTACAGTTACAAATAGCACTGGTGTGCCGTGATATGCCCGCCCGGCCCAAAACCGTATGACACACTACACTCCCCCTATCAATTTTGTTGTCCATCTTATGTTCCATTTGGTTTGCCGTCGTTGGGGCGATATCCTTTTAGGTAGGGGACCACCCAAATTCAATCAGGTTATAGCTTAGACATCTAGAGGTATTTTTCATATGGTTTAATAGACAACACTATTGTTTCGCAATCTATTTGCTAGTTTTGAACTCGGGTACGGTCCCCGGTCATATTCTGTAGTCTGATTTAGTTCTACTTACATATAAACACACCCACATATGTAGCCTTGAACTCTTAACCAGGTTTCAAGCCATACCTCCTCCTCTAGCTGCTAGTACAAATCACACTAGTGTTTCGCATTCTGCATATACCTAGCACTTAACTCAGGTTCTAAAGCCTAAACCCTAAGCCCTAAACCCTAAGCCCTAAACCCTAAGCCCTAAACCCTAAACCCTAAAACCTAAACCCTTCAATCCTGAACCTTACCCCAAAAGGTACGGCTCCGAGCACGCCTATGACCAAAAAGGCAAGGCCAAGGCGCTGATCGGCGCTGCTTTCGCTCCGAGCCTCGAGCCGATTTCATCCCCTCCCCTCGTACGGGGTTGCTGTGAGGAAAAGTAAGGGTTTAAGGTTTAGGGCAACCATAATATGGGTATACAGGGTTTAGGGCTTTTTTGGGCTTCAGGGTTTAGGGATTTAATCCCCTCTCCTCATACTGGGTTGCTGTTAAGGAATCTAGGTTTAAGTTACCAGAATATAGGTAATATAGGTATGTAACAATGTAATAGTAGTAAAAAATGGGGGTTCCTTGTTATGTTGCTCTAGGTTAAGTTACCAGAATATAGGTTCATAATAAAGAATTGTAAGAAATGGGGTTACCTTATTATAGCCGATTTAATCCCCTCCGCTCATATTGGGTTGCTGTTAGGTTAAGGAAATTAAGTTACCGTAATTTAAGGCTTAGGGCTTCCCCTGCTACTGAGATGCTGTGAGGGAAAGTAAGGGTTTAGGGTTTAGGGCTACCATGATATGGGTGTACAGGGTTAAGGGCTTTTTGGTTTGGGGCATTTAGGGTTTAGGGTTTAAGTGACAAGAACATAGGTATACAGTACAAATCGTTAAAAAAATCGGGTTTCCTTGTTAGGGTAACTTAATTCAAGCTCCTGAACAGCAACCCAGAATAACGAGGTGGCTAGTAAGGTGGGTACCAAACTGTGGGTGATAGAGGTTTTGATGGGAAGGTTTATGGTTTAGGAGATCTGGGTATTTTGGGGTTAGGGTTTTGGGAAGAAACCATCAATCCGACATGATTTTGATGTTGAGTATTTGCAATTTGTGGCATTACTGCATGTTAAAGTCATGCAGGAATTTTTGCATGAACCGTGGTTTCGGGAGGCGATCACTGGTTTTGGCGTTTGCCACAAGCGTCGAAACTGAAGTGGGACGTTTCAGAATAGGACGGCTTCTTGAGTCACCAAGCCCAGCAAAGGAGCCTTCTGTATCTGGACTGCAGAGGGAAGACTGTGGAGGAAATCGCTTCTCAGATAGCGGCGAGGCTTCGTCGAAGCTAGAGGTGCGGCAGATCAGGATCTCAGTGAGTAGTCTGTGAGGGGCTGCAATGATGGGATCTTGCGATCGATTACGGGGAGCAGCGACGAAGCAGAAAGTGGTGAAGTTGTTGATTGCATTCGTTGTTTTAATCGTGTTCGCAGTGGGTGAGGGTTCTTCTTGTGGTTGTTCTTGGTGGTGGTGGTGGTGGTAGCCGCAGCCCTGGTGATGGTGATGGCGGAGTTGTCCTGACATGTGCTGGCCATGACGGTCCATAGCGTTGGCAGGGGGGGTGCCAGTGCAAACAACATTGGAAACAGGGCATGGTAAGTACTGTCAACTCCCATAGCCACAGAGCGTGACGAGCATCGATGTTTGCGTTCCAGGACTGCACACCTGTCTAGAAGAGGATGCCCAAGATGTGTTTTGTCATATACCAAGTGAAAGTTCCATTTTGGGTTCGGCTCGGGTAGAAGAATCAACAATCCAGCAAGGTTGCAGGATGCGGCGGAACCCCGTGGCCGCCCTTACGTGTGCGACCTTCATCCCCAAACCAGTCTATACTCTAGCTTTGGTCAACGCAAGTTGTGCACAAGGAGAGGACAGAGGCCCTTGGAGTCTTTCTAGCAATGATCGTTTGGTATTGCCCTCCCCAAATCAGGGGCCCTAACATAGATCCCAAAATGCTATTATCCTTATTATGGGGACCCCTGATGAAGTACCCCTAGTTTTGGGAACCCCCTATTTGGGGTGATAACAGGCTGAGCTGGGACCTCATGTTGGAGCCTTCTCTGTTGAGAAAGTTCAGAACGTGTAAGAGGGAGACCCCTCATGTCATGTAGATCCACAGGCATTCTCCTAGGTTCTTTTCCAGCTCTTTCAGGGTGGGGAATTTCTGCTGTGACTTTGGTGTTCAAGGCTCAGTTGAACAACCCACTTTTCTAGGCAAACCAAGTTTATCATCATCACCACCACCACTGCCCACCGCCACCGCCACCAGCAACACCATTCATTACTTGTGTGGGATGGATGGGGCGCCCTGACTCTGACAATTTCATATTATCAGATTTTTTTCGTGCTGTTTGCCAACTTGTTGCTGTTGTTCCTATTGTCCAAGTAGATACAGATGATGATTATCAACGCTATTCAACGCTACAACTTGGCTTCCCGCCCTGCTTGCCCCAGGCTGTCAAGCCCCAACGAGCTTTGCCCCTTCAAGCCTCTGAGTTCATTTCACTGGACATTTCTTGAACTTCTTAAGCATTTTCAAGCGTGAGTTTCTGAAATACTGTGCCGGCAGATCTTCTGCTCAAAGTTTGGCGGAGGAGCCTGTTTGTCAGTACAAAGATGTACAAAGCAAATGTCGCATTTGAAGCACCTGCCTGCGATGCCATGTGACTTTTTTGAGAGTCGTTTCAGGCTAAAAGGTGAGGATGATTTGGAGTTACGATTCAAGGCTTCTTCAAGTTCTGCAGTCGGGAAGGTCGTGCGGCCTTCAATAGCAGGGTCACTGCTTCTGAAGGAAAGGCTGAAAGATGCTCTGCTATATTGATTATTTGTGCGATGGGGTTGAGCAAGCCCTGATGAGCCTTGCGCTTGCTGAATGTAGGGGTCATTTTTAAGGTAAAAAAGGATGCATATGGGTCACAAGTCAGGTGCAAACGCGACACGGTCAGCGTTGATGCGGCAAAGTTCCTTTAAGGAAGCTGCACCCGCCTCACCTTTCACCAGGCATGCTGTCGGTTCGCTTCAGCAGTGAAACAGGAGAAGATCTTGTATCAAGACCGCTGACATTACCAATGATCATGTTGTATTGAAACACCATGCTTCAGGTATTCGGGTTCAAGACTAGTAGGCATGCAATGCATGGTAACATTCTTGGTCTGCTTTGTTCCGGAGACACAGCTAACACTGAAGCAAGTTTGTCCTGGGATCTTCTAATTACACTTATATGATTACATCCGTCTTTGAATGAATGCCGCCGTCTTCGTGCAGCCGGGTCTTAAGCCCTAGATCGTTGGTCTGCTTCCGCTTTGCACACGGTCAGAGCTGTTTCATCCTGGCAAGTTCCCCCGGCTGGAAAGACGGCTTTGGATTTGGGGCGGGGCCGGGTGCTTCATCTGTCAACAGGGTTCAGAGATTTAGGCCTCATGTTTTGATAGTCCTGCCTGATTCTTTTGATCACATGCGCATACTTGTAACATGTCGTCATGTTGAGCAGAACTCTGTCGTGATGAGTGTTCCGTCCCAGGGCCTCGACTCGTTATTCACAGGTCTGAATCTGGTTTGGGTTTGACTTTAACATTTTGCACTATCTGGCTCGAAAGGCAACATTCGGCCTCAACATCTGAACAGCATTCACGGACACTTGTGAAGCGGTCTGAGCCAACATTTTTCAAGATAAGGGGGTCTGCTGATTTGGCTCGGATCAAAGATATTTATACGAGGGTATCGGCTGTCTTGCTGGTTGGGTGGCAGCAGGCGCAGAACGGGAACGCTACACTCCAACGTTGTGAGGCCACTTCATCGTCAATGTCATGTTGCATTGTCTTTGTAAGCTGGCTGAGCGCTCCAAAGCCATTGGGGAGGACAAGCAGCAGCTCAACATGCTCGCGCCGACTGCCATGGTTCTTACATGACTTGCATAGCAGTTATTTACCAGCTATGAGCACATTACAGCACCACAGTGAATCCTGAAATTGAAGCTCCTATGATATATAGCCCCCGTACAACCCCCATGTAATCTCTACATAATCCCTACATCCCCTATCTTACCTATATAACTCTCAATAGTAGTTTCCAGTTTCTTTTCCAGTATCCCAATATAACCAAAATATATCCCCTATACACAGCTGCGTGTTGTGAAGTGAGCCATGGGCTGTTGTGCCGCCAAACCCCAGGCCGCCCCTGTCAGACATGTCTTACGTCTTACGGATTGACACAAAGCATTGGTTTAGGGTTTAGGGTTTGGGGGTTAAGGTTTAGGGTTTAGAATTTAGGATTTAGGGCTTAGAGTTTAGGGTTGAATCAAGGCGGATGGGGGGGAAGAGAAGGGCAGAGAGCCTGAAAGAGCAAACAGCAGCAAGAGATGGAGATGGAGCGACATGGGCTGGGGATAGAGATGGAGAGGGACAGAGCGAGAGAGAGAGTCTGCGCTGGGCCCGAATAGGTATGCAAGATCAGCCTGGCAGTAGGCTGGTGTGAACCCCAATGAACAGCACCAGTGGGCAGCAAAGAAGAAAGAAAACCAACCAAAAAGACAACAACAAAAACAGAGTGACAGGCCTCTCGTCGACGGGGGGCAACGTGCCCAAAGTACAGTACTTGCGCCGTTTCCTGACAGTTACCCCGGACAGTTACCCCGGGGCACACCAGCGAACGCGTGCCAGTCACAAGCTAGGTACATAGACACGTTGAGTTTTGACTTAAGCGTTAGAGGTTCCCTTTTGATGTACCTGTTACAGCCTAGTTATCTTCGAACAGGGAGCGTGAGGACCTGGCAATGGGCGTTCTAAAGCTTTTGAGTGCGAACCAGACTTGCAGACGTTGTGTCTAATAGGTTCCATCTTGCAGGTGCAGTTACGCTGTTGCTGCCGCAGTTATCGGTACGATGTGGATTGCCATGCTGTTGCTGTGGGTAGCGCATGGCTGGTCACGCTGTTGTTCCCGCAGTTACCCCATGAAATGCCCAATTGGGACCAGAAACGGCGCCCTGAAAGCTGGAATTGGCGTTCATCCTGGTGGTCAATTTCCGTCTTCGTGTGGATCCTGGTTCTCGGCCCTGAAAGAAAGAAAAGGAAGGAGCGAGATCTTTCATCTTGGTCGGCGAGAAAGAGGGTAGGAGTCGCAGGAGAAGAGACTGAGGACATGTGAAGAAGGTAGTAGGAGAAGGACAAGAGCAGAGAGACAATAATGTGCAAGGTTATCAAGCTCGAGAAACTTTTTTTGGTAGCTTGCTGCTACGGCAGAACAGAGCAGCTGGACGCAGGTGTTCTTGGGAGGTAGTAAATGCATAACAAGCTTGGTGAAGGGGATTCTCAAAGAAAAGTGACATTTTTCAGTGGCGCCACATGTTTGACATGTCGTCTGCAGTAATCCTGTCATTATTCACAATGAGCACCGTTGTGATCATGTGAATGTAGCTCAACATTGACATCTCGGTTGCACCGCAACAGCTCCCAAAACGTTTGGATACCAAATCGCGCTTTTTGTACACATGCACCACAAGAAGCTGATCTCCGGGTCAGTCATTGCGGAAAGCTTCCATTGGGTGCGATGAGGTGACTTTGAGTACCGGAGCGCCTCGGAAAACACAGCTTGTCAATCTGGAAGCACCTAACTGATCGTGGATGGTGCTCGAGAAATAGGCCATAGACCTTAAACCCTCTCAAGAGTCCCATGCTGCTTGGCAGTGTGATGCAGTGTGTATGGGTGGTCAGATCGGATGGTCATGTCCGGACGATGGATAACTGCTTGACCAGAGCAGCTAGTGGGCAAAACCAGGGACTAGAAACGACCGCTGACCACAAAACAGTCCGTGCAGTTGATGGAGTTTGAGTCAGAAGCTCCTGTGAAACACGCTTGGCCAAGCTTCCTAAGTTCTCAGGCAGAAGGGGCCGTGTGTATTTCAACAGGTGCAGTTACAGACTCTATGCTGGCATAGCTTTACACGTTCAAGTTTTTTAAAATTCGCAACAATTCAAACTTGGCTTTCCAGGAGAGGTCCAGTGTGGGATCCTTATTCCTGACACCACGAGAGCGACCTGCCAATCTGTCTTCTGTGCGAGTGGACTTTCCCGGCCGCTTCGTATCTGGTGCAAGATGTTGCTGGATTTCATTCCCTGGAAAGTATGTTGCTGGGTGGGATGCACTTACAAACAACAAGTCTGACTCTGTGGCCTGTGTGTTCATGCCCAAGGGACAGGGGGGTCCCGGCCTTAGTTTGAAAAAGGCGTATTCTCCTTTGTTGCAACTCTGGCAGAATAGGTCCTGCGGTTTGACAACGGGAGCTGTTCGCTTCGGCACGAGGATGAGAGTGCCCGTCACAGGAGGAAGAGTAGTAGTACTCGCCGTTATGACTTCCTTTTGTCATCATGCCGTTGAACACTCTGAGTCTGTAGGATGTCAAGCGCTTGCAGTGATACAGTTGTACACTGTGAGCCTGTAGAATGTCAAGCACCTGCACGGAACGTTGGCATTGATGTGTGTCATTGATGGCGAGAGAGTGTCGTAGTAGCACGTTCGGACCACTGGATCCACACAATGCGCGACACAATCGCAACCCCAGCGACAGCAGCCATGGAGCTAGCATTAGGAAACAATTGCATTGATGAGCCTGCGCTTGATTCATGTTGGCCTGTGAATGCCGCAGCGAAGAAAACCTAGCTAAGCCTTGCTTTTCCTCAAACATCCACCACGCGAGACATGACTGACAACGCTCAAGGCAGGCAAGTGTTGAGAAGCAGCTGTAAAACGAATTTCGTCCCACTTAGCAGGCATGACGGGATCAACAAATGGTTCTGCTGGTGGAACTGGAGGAGGAAAGGAAGTTGGCGGAGGACTTCTCTGTACTGAAGCCGTAGCCTTTCCAGGTGCCTGGCGCACGGTGCCTATGCAGCGGGGTTCGTGCCGTGCATGCGCATTCCGGTCAGTTTTTGATTTACCATGGCTGTGGCGTTGCCGCAGATGTGCAGCTTAGGTTACGGTGATCATGTGAGCGACCCAGACAGTGACAACGGACAGTGTTATTGCCATAAGATCTATGGCAGCCAACAGGAGTGGGGGTGTTTTTGGTACACTCGGTGGCTGGACAATGTGCGGCAGGCTGTTCAAGACAAGCAGCAGCTCAAGGCGGTTTTTTTTCCCAGGCCAAGTCGGCCAAGGCAAGTTGACGATGGATAGGCTGGCTGCCAACGATGTGGACTTATGGGACAATGTTGGCCTTGGAGGAAGTCAGAAGTGCGAACTGGCAACGGTCGACATGATGGGCTGGACCTACGATCAGGTCGACGTCGCTACCTTTCTCCAAAAGCAATTTCAACGTGGTTGCAAGGTTGAAGCCTGGTTTGAAGCTGGAGCGGAAAGCAGATGGCGCAGAGGAACCGTCATGGAGCAAGAGGTGAAGGAGGTAACTAGAGAGGATGGTAAAGCACGTGACCATGTTGCGCGCTGGACTGTGCATTGTGACGAGACTGGCGAGAAGTTCGTCACCGAGCGAGTTTGCGATACATCCATGACAATGCGGGACCTGTTGCGCCACTTTGGCCAGGGCCTCAGGCGGCCGTTAATTAGCTGGTTAGTTGCTTGCCAGCCAGACCAAGCATGTGGCATGCGGACTGTGTCCAGTCCATGTTTACACAAGTAGAAACATCACTCATGCCAATTCTAGTGAAGCTCAACAAAAGATGCCTCTCGCCATGTCCGCGTGAAACACACGCTGCTGCATTTGAGCACTGTCACGTTTGGCGAATGATGGTATGCAACCTAAGTTTGTCGCACCCAGCACGTTTGCTTCAAGAACCTTACCGACATTGCATTTGAGCGGAAGTCAACATGTTTTTCCTTCCTGCCGACAAGCCCACTACATGACGGCACCGTGGGCCTTTTTTTTCTGTGCGGGCGATCGCGCCAATCTTGAAGAAAATTTTGACAGCAAAGCTCCGAACAGTTTTTCACGGGAGGAACACATGCTTTGAAATGCATTGCCCCTGATTTGCGTGAAAGTTAAAAGCCGGAAAACCAGGGCTTACTTTTGAGTGGAAAGGGTTTAGGGTCTAGGGCTTTGCCCCCTGGTCTGCGTGAATGCTTCAAGCTAAAAAGCAGAGACCAGGGCTCACGTTTGGGTGGAAGGGGTTCACTGAATTGACAAACGATCTGAGTAAACAGGCTGTATGCGGAATTTGATTCACTGATTCACGTGTTGTGTAAAAAGCTCTTGCTGGCAAGCCTTGCTGCTTGCAACTTAGGTGGTGAGAAGAAGCTGTGCCATTTATTGCAGGCTTGTGTTCCAGACATAGCCGTGCTTGGCCTTGCTGCATCTCGACTTCGTACTGGCACTTCAGCGTTGAGTGTCAGCGTTCAGATACAAGGCATCCGTGCCTTGCACAGGCTCCGAGATCAGGTTCTGAGCGGTACTCTGCAGGACACGATCAACAAGGCATTGCAAGCAGGAAAGGAGGACTGGAAGGTGCCAGTGCAAGTTGACGCCTCGAGGTTTTTTGAACTCTACGAGGAGAACCTCCTGACCTTACAGGAATTAACCCATCACCAAAAGGAGAAGCTTAGGGACATCAGTCGCCTGGCAAATGTTCATCTGTCTGCCCCAGCTGGCGCAGGGAAAACTTTTGTTGCGGTGCGGCGCGTTCTCGATGTACTCGATTCTGGTGCTCGCGTCCTCTATGTGGCGCCAACGCGTGAACTCGCACATCATTTTGTGTACTGGATTATCACGCGCCTTGCGAGTCGATCAGTTCCTGAAGCTCTGAGCACGTCCTCGATCCAGGGCGTTCTTGCGCGAATGCTTGTCTTGCACAAGCCCTATGAAGTTTTCCTGTCTGTTGTGATTGAAGAGGGAAGCATCGACCTCAAGCCTGTGGAGGGTATTTGTCCTTTGAAGCTGATGGTCATTGATGAAAGCCACAACATTTTTCGCGCGGATGAAAGTCAAGGTAGGCTCGGACAAGTGGAGTGTGGAAACAGGCTGCTACTGTCTGATGATTCCCAGTCCTCGGCAGTAGAAAACAACTTTCCAAGCATGCAGAGGGTCAAGCTGACGCAAGTGGTGCGGAGCACCAAACGGATTGTAGCTGGAGCTGCTGCCTTTCAACTGACCGCAGAGTCAATCACATCCGTTGGCACAGATGGTCCTCCTCTGAAGTCGTTTCTATTTGAGGCTCCCAGCTTGGAAACAGATCTTGCAGAAGAATACGCACGGCATGTCACGAATGCTTTCCTGCATCTTGTGAATACCTTTCCTGGCGTCAGCTTGCACAAGCGAGTAGCTTTGCTATTTCCGAATACAGATTTCCTTGAGCAGCTGGAGCCACTTCTTCACAAAGTTCTGTATGACAAGTTTCCTTATCGTCACTTTCGCTTTGTCCGCTTTGTTGACTCCTTGCGCTCCTTGCCAGAGCGGCTTCGCAGCTTTGGAGCTCCCAGGACGGAGGGGCTAGAGGAGGTCATTTTGGATACGGTCGATGTTGCGGATGGCTTAGAGCAGTTGATTGTCATTTGCGTGGGGCTTGATGCTGCGATCAGCGGCAATTCTGGCGACTTGGCAGTTCGCGCTCAGCTATACAAAGGGATCACGAGGGCACAGCTGCTGGCCATTGTCGTCAACGAGTATGTGGAAAATGGCTGGTTCGAATTTCTGAGCAACGTCAAGTATTCGCCTGGTGAGCTCTCAGAGAAAGAATTGTCTCCGCAACCTGGTGATGCTGCCGCTCGGATTTGCCAGCAAGCAAGGGAGAGTCATGCAAGTGCCCAACGAACTGGGATATCTGAGAGCTTCGAGTCGCGGCCTGCCAGCTATGAGGCTCAAAGTCCAACACATGAGGGCTGCATTAAGTAACGATTCCTAAAATGGCGGGTCACCCTTTAGAATCATTTGTTGGGAATCATCTTCCGAACTGCAACTTGCCATTTGCAGTTTTGGCGGGGGGGGGGGGGGTATCACTGATGTTGCATAGGCGAAGGGGTGCCGAACGCGCAGTCGTTGCCTAAAGGGTTTTGCGGCCTACGATCGCATGCTGTCCTTCGTCACAGGCTGTACCTGGGATGCAGATTGAGCAGATCGAGTATGGCCCGGACTGGGGCCAACAAGTAGAGCTCTTCATGGAGGGTAAGTCCGCAGAGAAGATACAAGTGCGCGATAGACATGGCAATGTCTTGGCAAACTTCTTTGCTAAGAGCAGCAATGTGCCGGATTCAACAAGCTTCCCGTTGATGTTGACATATGCGCAGGCTGGGAGTTGCAGAATTTTTTTGAGAGTCGTTCTGGCATGTGGATGACATCCTCGAATCGTCTTTCAATGCCGATACCTTGTGTGATTCACGTCCTAATGATTCCTGTTAAAGCTTCGATTGCATCCCAACTAAGGAGGCTCACAGTCTATTACAAGCCATGCCACCAACAGTTCGTACAAGTCCTCAGCTGTCGCTCACACAAGCGGTTTCTTCGAGTGTGGCACATGTTTCTGGCCTTTGGAACACGGAGAGCAACAAGATCTTGGCGCGTGCCAAAAGACCGCTATTCGACCCCTTGGCTCAGCAGGCCTGGGTCTTAATTGTTGATTTGCATTTGTGCGAGTCAAGCCGTAACTCAGAACACTGCATTGCTTTAAAATGAAAGCGCTGGCTGAAAACCCTGGACGCTGGCAGTCAGCCTTTTTTCTTGAGCTAGACTAATCCAAGCTGGTGATTTTTTTGGTCCTTGTGCTGACAATGCGCAGGTTGACGTAGACATAGAACAACCGCAATATGAAGGGTCCCGCAGCCCATGTTCCTAATTCCTGCGGTCAAGATGTTATGTTACATCATGCAAGATCAGCAGAGGGATGCACAGCGTGCAAGATGCAACCCATAGCACCGCACTTGCGACTGTCGCCATCTTTGTAACATCTCGTAACTATGACCACGTCAGCAGTGCCAACAATGACAGGAATTCGTGATTTCTGTAACTTTCCTCGTTTTTGGTCTCCTGTGGCGCTGTCGTGTGACAACAATTCCAACAATCATTAGGGAGTGGGAGAGGACCTCTTCTGAGAGGAGGTCTGCACAGGTCATGTTCAAGAAATGTCACAAGATGAGGTCTTGGAAGAAGTCGCGGGAGGAGATCGCGAAAAGGCCGAAGGGGTTGAAACGAGGTCGTGGGAGCTGAATCCCAGTGTAGCCTTCAAGCCGCCACCCCTTGTGCGGCATTCCTACGAAACCCCAAGCCTCAAGCCAAAAATCCTGAATCGCAACCCTGGCCTGCAGCCTGCGGACACGCTTCCTGATGGCTCGGGCTCCAGGGTGGCAATGTTCTCGATGAGGCCTGAGCAGGGAGAGTTGGATTTGCAGGTCTGGAGTTGTTTCGCAAGCTTTCTCAGGCTGCTTTGGGTTTGAAGAAATTGCAATAGAGGTCGGAAGAGGTTGCATTGTGGCCATGGTTGGAAATGGGGCCTGAGGGACTGTTGCTACTCATCCGTGAGTTTTCTACGTCACCCCAGATTGCAGGGTCAATTTTGAGACTCAGTGAGGTCAGCGTCTCAGGGTGAAGTGATCTTGAAGTAGAGGAGGGGCTGCATGAGGACAAGTTTGTGGATATGGGTTGGCTGGTCTCGTGTAGCTGGCTCTGGTTGACCCATCGCCACCAAGCCTGCCTTTGCAGCTTTGATCACGCAGGTGCTACAGGCCACATTTTTGTCAGGACTTGCATGTCGAAGAAAACTCAAGCCTTGCTTTCAAGAAAGCATTGTGTTTACCGTCTTGCAAGTCGTGCTTGAACAGAGACTTGCACTGAAAGCAGCTGCTGCAAATCCACCTCAACTTGGCCTCCATACGTTGAAGCCTCCCAGACCGCTCCGCCAGAGGGCCTTAGACCCTCAACCTCTCAACTGCCCAGCTGCTGTGTCTTGCCTGCATTGCCGCAGGTCGACGCCTTGTCACAGACAGTTCTCAAGAAGCGAGAAATTATGCCAGGAATTGCACACCTGATTTACTCTTTGGATAACCCCTATAACCCTGACTCGAAACTTGTCATGGCATCCGTGGAGGTTTGACTCCGGAGAGGTTGAGCAGAAGATCCGCGCCGTTCATCGGCTTCTGCTGAGACATAACTATGAGGTGCGGATGGTGGAAGCTGGAGCTGGGGATGATTTCGGCGATGACCCCTTACGGTTTCTGCTTGACTTAAAGAGGAACGGCGGTGTGATGCTTGCCGTGTGCACGGCGCATTACGCAGAGATGACTGCTTCAAGGTATTCCTCTCACGAGGAACTGAGATACTGCCATGAGCACCGCATCCAGGTGCTTCCACTTCGAACCTTGGGTTCTAAGTGGATGGCCTTTTTTGTGCATGTTTTCTCGGTATTCTTTACAGCAAGGCTAAGTATGTGGCTCAGTTGTCACATACTTATGGCTCGGCAAGCAAGGCATGGATGACATTTATCCTCCTGAGCCGCCGTGCCTGGATGATCCTGGAGTGGAGTTTTTTTGATTCTATATGCAGGGAAGCCCAAAACAGTACTGGACTTAACTCCTAATTGAAGCTGGAAGTCTTAACAACTTCCACATAAGAAACCTGCTGCAATCGAGCAAATTTGAGCCAGCCCCGATATGAGCCAAAGCCCGGCGGAAAGAGTTGTGTCAATGTTTGACAGGAAAGAACCCTCCTCTGACCGAGCCATAGGCCTCAAGAACTTGAGCTCAGGTGGGGGCCAAGCCACCCCTATGACGAAATGGGCCGAGCCGAAGCTCTAGTCTCACTTGCATTGCCTCCGAGCCTCTGACGAACTTGGGGGATATATGTCGTGCTGTCTACACCCCTAAAAAGGCATGAAGCGAATCCCATCACAGCTCATTCTACAACAACTATCGCAGATTCTTGACCCCAAGCCCAGCAAAGGAGCCTTCCGTATGTTGACTGCAGAGGGAAGACTGTGGAAGAGATCGCTTCAGGGATTGCGGCCAGGCTTCGTCGAAGCTAGAGGCGCCGCAGATCAGAATCAGAGTGAGTAGTCTGTGAGAGGTTGTCATGGGATGTTGCGATCGATTACGAGGAGCAGCAAAGAAGCAGGAGGTGGTAAAATTGCCAGCTGCAGTCGTAGCAGTTGTCGTGGTGGTGATGGGTGATGGTGCGTGACGGTCAAGGCGGTGCTTGTGGTGACGGCTGGTTGTCCTGGCCATTATTGTTGATGGCTGTGCTAGCGAGGGTGCCTGCTGTTTCATGGAGACATGGCATGGTAAGTCTTGTGCTGCAAGGAATCCCGCAGCCATAGAGCCCGACCAAGATGCCAAGTGAACATTTTATTTAGGATGCGTGGCTGTTAGAATAACAATCCAAAAGGGTCGCAGGATGTGAAGTACAAAGCAGGTAAGACCATGTAAAAACCTTTTTAGATGGCTGCCAGGCTTCGGCTTCGTCCTCGTCAAAGCCAAAGCCAAAGGCATGCCAGATCAGAATCTGTTTGGGTAGCATGTGATTGGCCCATGCAGGATTTCAGGCAGGATGGGATGTTGCATTAATTCAGCAGAATCAGCATAGCATTTCACCTTAACTGTCGGACCTATGTGGACTAGAAGGTTTCGTAAGTTCAAGGGGTGCCAGGATCCAGGATGCAGAGTTACGACCTTCCACAACCCTTTCATGCACCTGTAAGCGATGCACTGGCACTCCCCAGTTTCTTTGAACCAGTTTCTTATTCAACCTCTGTCGCTCGAAGTGCGCGAGGCAAGGGCACAGCCCTCCCGACAAAAGCTTCCAGAGCAGTGTTCTTAGTTTTGGGATGACCGTCAGTCGTACTCAAAGTCTTTCAGGTTTTGCTGACTGGCGTTGCAACGGACGGAGCTTGGCCTTCATACATCGTAGCCTTTTTGATGGGGGGGTCCGCCGTTCAGATCCTCAGCCATGCTTCTAGGTTGAACATAATAGCTGCAGAAGCTTCAGCAAAAGCACACACACGTCTGGAAACAGAGTTGTCATTTTTGTCCGCTTGCCTCCCCGAAGTGTGAGTGCAGCAAAGGGGTCAAAGTGTTCCAATATCATCGGTATCGCTGTTTGTCCTACTAAAGGTGTGTCGTCCTAGTGCTTGCTATGAGAATCTGCCATATTGTCAGTAGGCGCCGTGTTCGCAACTGTGCTTGTACTAAGTCTTCATCGGAAGCCTTAAGCCATGATCCCTGAACCCAAGCCCCAAACCAGCCTGAAATGTGTGCCCTGCACGCTCGAGCCTGAGCCCTTTCGCCGACTTCAGGCGCAACACTCCAGTCATGGCTGCGGGCATGAGCCGCCTTTCAGCGGTTTGAATTGCGAAATTATCCAAAATCTGGGCTCAGTACATGCATCTAACAAGTGGCAGTGGCTTGCCTTCAAAATGTCGTTTTGCTCATTGTAAGGGCCCATATGGCAGATCTTCTGCTCAAAGCATGGCGGAGGATCAGCTCTGCAGCACGAAGCAAGTGTTGCGCCATAGACACCCGCAGAGGCTACAAGAAGCACAAGGAGGAAGCTATGTGGGGATGGTGGCGGCTGTAGGAGTGCTATGGAGGTTGCCTAAAGCATGTCTTCTTTGTAGTGTCGTTTTGGGTGAGTGCGTACAGGGTTCATCTTAGTTGGTTAGCGTAGATGTGGGTTTCCGTTACGGTGCAGAAACATAGTTCCAATTTCTGTGAGCTCCCGAAATAGCAGTGCCAAGCAACTTTGACAGGGACGAGCTTGGGATTGCGTAGGGCTGCGGTTCAAGTCCCACTTCCTCGGTGTAGAGCAGTTTTTGAGCTCCACCAGTAAGCGCGGTATTGTATCATAAGCAGGTTTTGGCTGCCAATTCTTCAACGACCACCGCATACTCAGTAGCCTGAGCAGGGCACTACTTAGATCGCACTGTGCCTCTAGCAATGGCTGGTACATTGTGATGCTGAATTTCAAGGTTCTTGCCTGAGCCCTCCGATCCAAATACGGTGATGTATGTGGACCTCGAGTCGGGTGTACAGGCGACACAGTATTGCAGCGATCAAAGATCCTGCATGGACACTGAGCCCGCTTTGAGTTTCACCAGGAGGGCGCCAGCACTGATGCATGAGCAGATATTCTACCAGGACCTCAAACTTGTGTGTGCCATGGCAGCTGATGTCAGGTTTGTATGCACCTATATTGCAAGTGTTGGAGGGGGCATCCTTCAAACCCTAGTTCAATCCTTCCACGAACAACACCCCCTAATCCCCTAACAAAAAATACCCCCAAATATAGTACCATTTCACAATACAGGGATATCATTAGGGTGTATTGAGTTTTACCAGGGGATGTGATTTGTCACTCAGTTGCTTACACGCAGAGGCGAAGTTCTGCAAGGTTCTGTTCACCCACATGCGTTTAAACCGTGGCGGCCGAGTCCATTCTGTCTTTGCGGAATACCGCCTACTGGTTCCTGAGCTTATGTGACTCCATCAGCTTCTTAGCAAAAGCCATTCTACTCACGCAATTTAACTCTGCGCCCTCACCCCGCCCGGCTGGCATTCTGCACCAAGTGCAATGCCATTGAATGCTGGCAAGAGCTTTGCGCTTGAAAGATTGCTTTCGCTTTACTTCCTGGTGATTAGTAGTCAGTGGGGTATGGCTTATGTGGATTCCTAATACTGGAAGGCATTGTACAGGGACTGCTAGTGGGATCCATTCCTCCATTCCTTACGAACCACCTGTAAGCTTTAGGAAGGATTCGATTTGGGGTGTGTGCCGTCTTGTGCTGATCTTGCTAAAGCCCACGTTGGGGGCACTTCACCGTGGGGATGGCAGAGGGAGACATAAAGATAGAGAGAGCGAGGGAGGAGAGAGGAGAAAAGACCTGTCGGCGTGCACCCCCTACACCTCTTGTTTCGCTATACATCGACGGAGGCTTCTGTTGTTTTGGCGTCAAAAAGGGTCTGCAGTACTCCAAAGCCCTAGCTCAAATATTCTGGTCTTCGTTGAGATCTGAAGTATAGCTACCCGATTTGCACCTGTGTTCCGCTCAAGTGACGGAACGCGTGCAATGGAGGAGTAGGAGAACTGGATGTGTCGTGCTAACGAGCCGGCGTTTGTTGAAGCCTTTGGGATACCAAAGAAACGCGAGCAACAGCTGCTTCTTCCTTCCCCCAAGTGATTCATTGGGTTTTACTTAGCATGTCAAATCTTTCTTCACCCTGCTCCTGCAGACCTTCCAGCATCTGCCTGATTCCCTCCTGGCTCATCCTACAGAGGGTACAGATGCATGCGGGAAGCGTGAAATGAAAAGGAGGCCCCTCAAAGTGGGCGCATCTTTCGGAAACAGAATGCGAGGTTTAGCATCTTGTCCGCGTATTCTAGCGATTTTAGCATCTGGTGCATTCGGCAACCGAAAGGTCAGCTCACGTACGGTGATCCCTAAAAATCATGCAGGTCAAGTGCATCCAAGCAATGAATCCTTTAGCATAGCCTCGCTGCCATGTCGTGGGGTGCTTGGCCTTCGTTGCTCTGTGCGGTCACAGTTAGGTCATAATGGGGGAGGGGGGCCGTTAGACTGATCCTGGCACATGAAGGGGTTGTCGCCGTTTAAAGCATATCTGGATCAACTCCGGATCAACTAGATGCAGGGACTGAAGTGTAAGTTAGCCTAACCTTGTTTGGAATGCAAGCAAGGTTCTCAACCCTAAGCCCTAATCCCTAAACCCTTAGCCCTGAAACCCTAAACCCTGAAATCCTAAACCCCATCCCTCTTTGCGTGCAGCCAAGGTCATTCTACGGCAGCGCTTCAGGTTCCTTGGCTTGATTGGCTGAAAAAGAAAGTGGAAACTACGATAGGTTTTGTAGGATATCTCTTGGTTTAGGGTTTAGGGGTTTACAAGGAAAAAATTATCGGATCATGGGGTATGTAGATTGGGATTTTATAGGAAGCTACTGCAGATAGAGTATATATTGGGTTTTTTTCGGATACATAGGTATCATATGGTATATGTTGGAGTTTTATACGGATATAGGTATTTAGGGCCTGCGGCACGGGCCGGCCTGGCCGCCACCCCCCTTGCCCACCCAGCTCTTGTTACCTGGGATGTTTTTTCGGTTTTGAAGACCCTGATCTCTCTAGTTTAACTGAGAGCGGCCCAAAGTGGAGTCCCAATTGTGCTGATGATGTTCCTGTACGAGGAGCGCGCGCGCACGCGCCTCGTACAGGAACATCAGCT